GTGTACAAACCTCTGACCATGAGCTCGGTTGACGTCCCGCACGGAATCCGTGTCACGGATGCCACCCGCAAAATCGATCGACCGACGTCCAACCGAGGGGCCTCTCTGGCCAAACACATTGGCAAAATATTTGTTGGCACTTTCGCAGCGTAACACCTGCCACCACGTGAGTATCTCTGCCGTGAGAACGAAGGTCTTCTCCGCGACAGTCGCGCTCAAGTTGTCAGAGTGAAACTCATATGACCCCCCCCAGCAAACGACACAAACCGCAGTCATCGGCTAACGACACAAACCGCAGTCATCGGCTAACGAAATGCGGACGTTGATCGATGGACTCAACGAAACCTGTAAAGACTAGTAAGAGTCACTTCCCGACTACGCCTGTTCCTGTAAATGTTGTCATACTACGACCGCAGTGCGAAAAGTCATTGTTAAAATAACTGAGCTGTGGCATTTAAGCATTCAAATGAAGCACTGGCAAAAACGTATCAGAAGAATGCATTGTTCCGTTATATGGACTTGCTTGGTTCACTTCAACTTTGAATATAGAATAAGACGACCGTTACGCCATGTGCTGTGTCTGTTACAGGTTAAGCCGGTGCTGTCTGGTCGGTGGAACGTCAGGCAGAATCATCAGTTCTTGAGGTTGCGCCTCGGCAAGGTCCCTTGAGCTTCCTCCATGCGAGGTAGATAATCGCGTACCGCTTCGTGAGAATGAAATAAGCACCAAGGTAACCGAACAATTACAGGCGTTGAGGCCTCTTCATTAAGAGGACTGGATCAAAATCAGGTAATCAGCTAAAAAGCAATCGAAGAAGAGGTTGTAAGGTGCTCGAGCATGTAATAAGATGTGTAGCGATCGTTTATGCAATGTTCCATAAATGCATGCTTCGGTTAAGTTGTTGTCTGAAAATCACAGTTCACAACTCTTATGTCCAGAGACACTTGACGACAGTTTCTAACACTCCCTGCACTTCCACTGTACCGAGTTCGCACAGAGCTCGTAACTCGTGGTAGGATGAGTGAGGTATAGAATTCCGGTAGGTTCACTTTTATTTTCTCCTTCTAGGATAAATATACAGGTCCCCTTCCTGGAAGAAAATCGTAGGCCATCGTTATAGGGAACATTTTCCTGTATATAACGTCTAAAAATGCGCTACTCTAGTCAGAAGAGAGTGAAACAAAAATTACGCTCTACCATCAGCTCCTCAACAAGTGTATCTATTACTAATAGTCTACCAAAGTAAAGAACATTAGCATCCCATTATTATAAACGTAACTTTTTTTTCATTGACACAATAAGGTCTGTGTCTAAGAGGCATGATTCAATAGTTTAGCTTTGCACTTCAGCAGGGATAAAAAATTTTCATCTCTATAAATAGATATCCTTCAAAAAACTATCACCCGGTATTCAGGTCTTTCGGGGATATACTGTCAGAACCATTCTTTACTTCCGGTCATCGCTGCCACTTTTGCAGGGCTCATGCAAATAGAAAGCAACTGTGCTCAGTATCGCCTACGACTGACAGCCTAATTTATTCGTTTCTATAACGCAATAGTCAAAAAGAGGAAACGCGCTGACGCTCGGTACGCAGTAATTTGTCGACGGCCGTGTGGTAGGTAAAGAAGCGACAGGCATCGTACGAGATGTCAGCTTCGTTAAGAGAGGTGTCACTCATGGCCGAGCCGTCAGAACGATAGTTCATAGCAATTAAACAAAGAATAAGCAAGATTGAACCGAAACGCTGCAATTAAGTGACAGGGAAAACCTGAAGTTTAAGCCTGACTATAGCAATTTTCATAACTCGTGTCGACAATACGATACAAATCATGAGCAATACCGAATTTGAAAGTGGAACTTCAAGTGAAGGCCAAAAAGACGAAAATTATGAACAGCATCCCTCGCGATTGGCAGTTCAAGATATTAAGGAATGGTGTTTCCAGAGACAAGATGCACCACTTCATGTACTTACCTCAGAACTGTGTTACTAACGATGGCTACATTGAAGTCGATCGGCGCATCAGGCTGGCATCAGCGAAATTATGGCATATTATGATATATGGAAGAACATGACTTTAAGAAATGACAAGAAAATCACCATTCTGAAAGCAGCCCTATTCGCAGTGCTAATGTACCGTCTCGAAACATCAGGCATTCTGAAGCTAGTCATGAAATTAGCAGATAATTTCCAACAACGGTGTCACGCCAGATTACGACGAAACCACAGGGAGCGGGGGTGTCATCAACGAGCAAGCGCTGAAGACCACCGGACTGAGAAAAATACCAGATGAATTCACAGACCAGTGCCTAGCTGCACATGAGAATATATAAATAAAACTTTTCTCGCTAGGGAACCGTGCAGCTGGCTACAGACGCGTGGGAGGACAACACAAAACGCTGAAAGCCCTGCTTAGACAAACCTGCTTGCGGAGAGGAATATGAACATTGTCACAACGGTAACTTCGCCAAATATCAATCTGAAGCTTCATTGCAAATGGTCAGATAGCATAAACCTGGGCTATGCTATTGTTTAAGCTCTGTTAATCTCAGACGACGATAAAAAAGCAATAAAAAAAGAAAAAACAGTAGTTGTACATTACTTTAACAGATTATCTATGGATTTGTTTTATTTAATGAAAATTAACAAAACCGATCATCGCTGAACCGGCGAAATATTAGACGGGACTGTAAGTGAGGGTAAACGGAAGGTAAGAACATCGCCGGCAGGATGAGCTGAAGAAGTTCGTTCGATCAAGATGGACAAAATTCAAAAAAAAACATAAGTTTATGGCAAAGTCTCAGAGAACCCTTCATTTAGCAGTGGATCCGAAAAGGCTGATGACGGTCATAATCATAAATGCAAATTAATTAACTTAGCCTTCAGATTAACGAAGGCGAATCGAACCGTAGACCCTCAAGTTATGAAAGCTCCGCACTTCTGTTATTGTTTTCACCATCTGAGGGATCAGAATCAAGGACAGAGTACCAAGAATAGGTCTAAAATCTCTGCATAACCACATTAGAGCATTATCCGTATCAGTTGTTCACAGGTCATGTCAGCCGTTCATAAGCTGGTTGCACTGGCAACGAGTTCTTAACTCTAGGGCTTAATAGCTAATGCAGGGTCAACTCATTGCATCACTATTCCCCTACACCACTTCTCACTTCCATGGTGTATACCAGTTTGTGGTATTTTCCTATCGGTAAACTATCTACTTAGGGTGTAAGAGAACTAAAGTTTGAGACCGACACAGAACGAGAAAGGATCTAAAGATACAAAGGAGCGTATTTAAACTTATCAAAAAGGGCAAGCATGAAATCTCGAGGATCATAAAGGCAGCGCCTTGTGTTCGCTTGACCATGGAAAAGAAGAAGGTGAAGAAGGAGGATGACGAAGAGGAAAAATTAGAACTACTGAAGCCTGGTTGAATATTTATGGCAGACCACAAAACAGATGGACAGATATCGTCTATAACCTATAACCATTTACCTTCAATCATAAAAAATAAAAAAGGTACTTCTAGTTGATGGCACAAAAATGTAGATCAAGCCGCACCACAATCTAACAGAAACAAGGGCGCCAGAATGTTTCCAACACGAAAATGTAACGAATACTAAGTTCTACCACCTTTTTGTTTTGCATCTAATTGCTGCTGCATGACAACACCAGTTCATTTTTGCGATTCCGTGGTGTTGTTTCCAGCGGGCATACGAAATAGCGGATTTTTTTTTAAACTACCGTTGAATTCACTGAACACTGATCAGAACTGGTGTACGCTAAACCGAAACGTTTTTTACTAAAATTTTCTTCTACACCTGTCTAACTTTTGGAAGTTACGGTTTATACTTTGCGTTAATTTGTATTCAACTATCAGGCAGACGAGTGAAGACGAATTTTTGCCATAAAACACACGCATCAAACAACATTGCTGAACGCCTGGTGCTAAGCTCAGGCCTGACCACGCCATAAAACTATGCAGTCCATTGAGTTCGAAGGTCAGTGATCTGCTGTCGTCAGATTTACGCTACGCAGTGTATGCCGTACTTAAGGGGATTAATTAGCCATCAGTGCGAAAAACTGACGTCGCGATGTGGATTTGAGCCCGGAACCTCCAACGTCCAAATGAAACAATCCATCCATTGCGCTGCGAGCTCCTGAATCTGCAGATACCGAATCCAAAGTTTTCATTTTACGCAACGTTTTGGCCAGTCATAAATGATATTTAATCATGATAACGGC